TCTCTCTCCTCTGTCTCTCTCTATACCTCTCTCTCTCTCTCCTCTGTCTCTCTCTATCCTCTCTCTCTCTCTCTCTCCTCTGTCTCTCTCTATACCTCTCTCTCTCTCCTCTGTCTCTCTCTATACCTCTGCCTCTCCTCTGTCTCTCTCTCTCCTCTCTCCTCTCCTCTCTCTCTCTCTATACTCTCTCTCTCTCTCTCTCTCTCTCTCTCCTCTCCTCTATACCTCTGTCTCTCTCCTCTGTCTCTCTCTCCTCTGTCTCTCTCTATACCTCTCTCTCTCCTCTGTCTCTCTCTATACCTCTGTCTCTCTCTATACCTCTCTCTCTCTCTCCTCTGTCTCTCTCTATACCTCTCTCTCTCTCTCCTCTGTCTCCTCTCTCTTTCTTCTCTCTCTCTCTCTCTCTCTCTCTCTAACCTCTTCCCTCTCTTCTCTGTTCTCTCTCCTGTACTCTGTCTATCCTCTGTCTCTCTCTCTCTTTTTGTTTGTCTCTATACTTCTATTGCTCCTCTGTCTCTCCATATACCTGTCTCTATCCCTCTGTTTCTCTCCTCTTTGTCTCTCTCCTTTCCTCTATCTCTATCCCTATACCTCTATCTCTCTGCTATTTCTGTCCCTCCCTCTGTCTCTCTCTCTGCTCTGTCTCTATCCCTTTGTCTCTCTCCCTCTATCTCTCCTTTTTCTGTTTGTCTCTATACCTCTATCGCTCCTCTGTCTCTATCCCTTTGTCTCTCTCCTTTTTCTCTCTCTTTCTCCCGTGTACATGTTTCCATCTCTCTCTCTACTCTCTCTGTCTCCCTCCACTTTTCTCTTTCTGTCTCTATCCCTCTGTCTCTCTCTATACCTCTGTGTCTATTTTTCTATCCCTCTCTCTCTTTTTGTCTCTCTACTCTTTTGCACTCTCTCTCTCCCCTGTACGTGTTTCCATCTCTCTCTCCTCTTTGTGTTTGTCTCTATCCCTCTATCTCTCTGTTCTTTCTGTCTCTATCCCTTTGTCTCTCTCCTCTTCTGTCTCTCTCTCCCTCGTATGTGTTTCCATCTCTCTCTCTCTCTCTCTCTCTTTGTCTCTATCTTTCTGCTCTCTCTCTCCTCTTTCTGTCTCTATCCCTTTGTCTCTCTCCTCTTTCTGTGTGTGTCTCTCTCTCTATCATGTGTGTTTCTATCTCTCTCTTTCTCTCTCTCCTCTTTGTCTCTCTTTCCTCTTTTTGTCTCTATCTTTCTGTCTCTCTCTATACCTCTGTGTCTATCATTCTCCCTCTCTCTCCCCTTTCTGTCTCTCTACTCCTTCGCACTCTCTTTCTCCCTTTTTGTTTTCATCTCTCTCTCTTTACTCTCTGTCTCTCTTTTCTCCCTCGTACGATTTTCCATTTCTCTCTCTCACTCTCTCTCTCTTTGTCTTTCTCTCTTCAGTCTCTCTCTTGTTTCCTCACTCTCTCTCTTCCACACTCCTCTTTCTCTCTTCTCTTTCTGCCTCTCCCCCTATTAAACGTTTCTATCTTCACGGAGCCCAAACCAGACCGAGTTCCAGGCCAGATCCGTGGAGAGGCGAACCCGCTCACAGTCAGAATGTTTGTTTTTCGAGGTATTTTTGAGCTTTAAAACCACCTGTAACTGAATAAACGTGAAGTATTTGGCTAAAAGTGAAAACTCCGGTTGTGTTTGTGCCACATGACTCCTCCTCCTCCTCCTCCGCCGTTGTTCTCCGTGGAAAAGTGCATCCCCGCTTCACCTGGGCTCGTGTTTCTCTCGGGGCGCGTCCTACTGCAGAAAACCCCACGGAGCTCACTACAGAAACATATATTCTAAATAACGCCGGGCTAAATTAAGCTGCGGTGCATGTATAATTTAAAGGGATGGATGGATCTCATCACGGACGAGCTGCTGGTTCAACTCCCCGTAGAACCCGCACATCATCTGCAGCCGAGTATGAAACCGTCTGTTTAACACGCCCAGGGAAACTGACTCCAAACGTACGTCGACGTTCAAACCGTCGCTTAACGTGGCGTCGTAGACTGTATATAAATGGATTTAACTTTTGGATCCCTCAGCTCTTTATTTTCTACTTTGTGTTTGTATTAACTCGCTATTATTTCAACCATTTCGTCCGTAAATCAATTTTTATTCCTAATATAGAACGGCTACGAATTCACTCCTATAACGAAAACCGAAAAGCACGGGTGACATCTCTTTGGTCCCGTCCACACTAGTTCGTATTCGAGTTGTTTTCATTGTGGATGCAGAGTTCGTTCACACTAATCTGATTGAAAACGGCTCCAGAGACTCGAACGATGTGGTGCCTCCAGCTCCCACGAATTCATCAGAGTACAGATCTGATTCGGCACCATGTGGACGCCTGAAAACACTGATACTCTGATGTAGGTCTGTGCACCACCGAGTAATTTACCGCCAAAACACTAAGAGGCCAGAATAGGGGTGGGCAAACTTTATGGCTTGGGGGCCACATAGGGTTCTAAAATTTGACTGAAGGGCCAGAAAGGAGACAGGACATGACGTCTTAAAAGCCCGGCTCCACTTGCGCTCGAATTTGTGCTCGTATCCTACACTCCGCACTACAACTATTGGACACGGAAGTTTCAGAATACATGAAAAGTGAATGAGGTCTGCTCCACCGCACACCACTAGCGAGCGTGAGTCCTGAGCGCTTAGATCTCGTTGAGAAACAGAGCACATGCCATGAGGTTACACGTGTTAACATTTATGCAAGCAGTTCAACTAGACTGGTAAGACATTTCATACGTTAAGAATGTAACACAGCATCTGTAAGTTTTTTGACTTTGCTTTAGACTTCCTCAAAATGGAAACAGTGCAGGTCTTATGTCTTGAACACTTCTACCTCACTCATGGTCCGAATACGCTGCCCGAAAATGACTCCTGTCACTTTCCCATAAAGCATTGCGGCCAACATAACACGCTGCACCTCAGTATATATATATGTAGTGCGCCATCTACTGAGAAACGCCGGAAATGCATGAAAAATAAAACTTCAACAAGGTTTATTATTGTAATTTATTCAAGTTCGGCGGGCTGGATTAAAAGGTTTAAAGGGTCACATACGGCCCCTGGGCCGTAGTTTGCCCAACCCTGCTCTAGAATATCTGTAAATTCATATAAACGTGTGTCTGTGTGTACGACCTGCAGACGTATAATCTCTGAAAAGTTTCACATGAACCAACAACACGACAGAAACACAGAACAGACTCACCATCAGCAGAACACCCCTCTGTCACAGAGAGAACACTCATATTCCACTGAGTCATGTCCTTTAGTTCGATAGAAGCTGAACACCATCAGTGAGACAAGGAGCGTTTTTTTTTAGCACTCAGTTTACGCAACTGAGTCATGTGGTTTTAAGTTTTGTTTCTGTAAAAAGTAAACAAATGTGCTCAAAGCTGAGCGGATAGAGAAGATTTTGCGGACACAGAAATGACATGTCTGGACGCAGATCGTTTCTGACACGGTGATACAACGATTTGTTTCAGTGTAAACATGACCCAAGTCTACTTCTTTCTACAGTCTGTGGTCCCGTCTCATTTCTCTTTCCTCGCTTCCTTCTCCTTGATTCCTCTCCTCTATTCTCCATTTTTCAGCTGTCAATCAAATGTGTCATATTCACTTTTGTCTCAAAGAAAATCACAGAATGAAGGAGTAAATCTGAGGGAGAAAAGAATCAAACTTTACTGGTCTCAGCAGACGTTTTCAGGCCGGACAGAACAGTGCCGGAGCTGCTTCCACCACCAGTTACACGGGGAATTTGCCACAAAATTAAAAACAAGGCCGTACGAAAGCGGATGTCACAATGAGGAAAATAAGAATCATGGATCACATCATCGACACCAGCGAGCGTTTGTACTCATACAAATCATTATTTAGTCCCTCCATTCGCTCCAGGGACTATGTCTCTGAGCTGGTCTGGCAACACCTCGGGGTCCCCCTGGAGGAGCTGGAGGACGTGTCTGGGGTGAAGGAAGTCTGGGAGTCCCTGCTTAGACTGATGCCCCTGTGACCCGACCCCGGATAAGCAGAAGAAAATGGATGGATCATTATTTATCTGTGGAGAACATCGGCTGTGGAGAAACATCTGCTGTGGAGAAACATCTGCTGTGGAGAAACATCTGCAGTGTGGGAGAAACATCTGCGTGGAGAAACATCTGCAGTGATCTGCAGTGGTGCTGGAGAAAACATCTGCAGTGGAGAAACATCTGCAGTGGAGAAACATCTGCTGTGGAGAAACATCTGCAGTGGAGAAGAAACATCTGCAGTGGAGAAACATCTGCTGCAGTGGAGAAACATCTGCAGAGAAAACATCTGCAGTGGAGAAACATCTGAGAACATCTGCAGTGGAGAAAACATCTGCTGGAGAAACTGGAGAAACATCTGCAGTGGAGAAACATCTGCAGTGGAGAAGAAACATCTGCAGTGGAGAAACATCTGCAGTGGAGAAGAAACATCTGCAGTGGAGAAACATCTGCAGTGGAGAAACATCTGCAGTGGAGAAGGTGAAACATCTGCAGTGGAGAAGGTAACAGTGACGCTCGATCCACAGACGGGACGTCACCGGGCGAACACGGATACAGCAAATATTTGGTCTCCTTTTCTGACCACTGCATCTTCTTGTCACTTGATTTCTCCACCATGTTCCTCACAAATGTTTTCTTTGTTTATTTTACTTCGTGTGACTCGGTTGAACCTGCTCATGTCGACTCTGTCATCACGGTTCGCTTAGAAAAAAAAGTATTTTTACGGGAACCAGCTTTTAGATTCCCGAACGCTCTGATTTTGGGCGTGAACTCGTTAGTTGGTTCGAGATTAGGTGCAAGAATCGGCGGAGTTTAGATCCTCGCTGTTTTCTCTGGACTTCCTCACCCATCGCTCGCAGAATCGAGGAGAAGGAAGCGAGGAGAGAGAAATGAGGCCTTTGTGTAGTATACTTCTAAAAAAACAAAACAAAAAGAGTGTCGTGGTGTGAGAGTGTGACTCACTGGTGCAGCCCCCGGTGGTGGGGCTGAGGTACTGCCCCTCTCCACAGCTCGTCCTGCAGAAACCTCCGAGCAGAGCGGCCCCCGGGGGACACGAGGAGCAGTCGGCCTGAGAGGGGCCCGAGCACGACAGGCACGAGGGGTGACAGTCTGCGACACACACACACACACACACACACACAACACACACACAACAGCACCGGGTCAGGGCATCAGCTTTAAACAAAAGCACGGATCAGTTTCTGTTCTGTTGTGACCTTTAAACAAACTGTACAAAAGTGAACTGAAATTATCGGCTAAATTATTATTTCTGGAACAAAACTGAGAGCTGTTTAACTGGATAAACACAGTGGTACAAAGGTAATTTTGGAGTTTTACCCATGGAAATACACCAAGACTGACACTGGTATTGAATATCGGTGCTGATCCAGGAGAAAAAAATGCATTATTGGGTATTATTACTATTATTGGGTTTCAGTGATATCGGTTCAGTCGATATCCTGGTTGGATTCTTTACTGGCCACGTTTACGTTTGATGTTTTTTAATTGGTCTGAGTTAAATAGTTCGGAATTGAAATATTCTCGTTTGAGTTTACATGGAAATAATAATTTTGAAATGAAATGATCTAAAGCAGGTCTAAACAAGATCTAAACCAGGTCTAAACCAGGACTAAAACAGGTCTAAACCAGGTCTAAAACCAGACTAAAACCAGGTCTAAAACCAGATCTAAACCAGGTCTAAAGGTCTAACCAGGTCTAAACCAGGTCTAAACCAGGACTAAAACCAGGACTAAACCAGGTCTAAACAAGATCTAAACCAGGTCTAAACCAGGTCTAAACCAGGTCTAAACCAGGACTAAAACCAGGTCTAAACCAGGTCTAAACAAGATCTAAACCAGGTCTAAACCAGGTCTAAACAAGATCTAAACCAGGTCTAAACCAGGTCTACTAAAACCAGGTCTAAACCAGGACTAAAACCAGGACTAAAACCAGGACTAAAACCAGGTCTAAACAAGATCTAAACCAGGTCTAAACCAGGTCTAAACCAGGACTAAAACCAGGTCTAAACCAGGACTAAAACCAGGTCTAAACCAGGACTAAAACCAGGTCTAAACCAGGACTAAAACCAGGTCTAAACCAGGACTAAAACCAGGTCTAAACCAGGACTAAACTAGATCTAAACCAGGACCAAAACCAGGTCTAAACCAGGACTAAACCGGGTCTAAATCCTGCTGTGTGGACGTGTCTCCCTCCTATTTTTAATTTGGTTCAGTAAAGTCTGGGCTTTTTATTTTCTTTTATCAGACAAAACGTCTTATGTTACGATATCTTAGTCTTTGCTTCTCTACAGCAAATCAAGTAATCCAAAGTATTCAGATTACATTACTCACTTTAAGTAATTTAATAGATTACGTTACAAACTACATTTTGCTGTATGTAATCTGTAATCTGTAGGGGATTACATTTTAAAAGTCACTTTCCCAACACTGCAAACATGGACAAAATTGTTGGTGCCCCTCAGGGAATGAAAGAAAAATCAACAATGGTCACTGAAATAACTTGAAACTAAGAAAAGCAATAATAAATAAAAATTTCCTGAAAAATAATCAATGAAAATCAGACAGTTTTTGAATTGTTGTTCAACACAATTATTTAAAAAAAACAAAACAAAAAAAACATCTTAATCTGCATCACAGGTGTCTTCAAACTTGTCCTCATTGTGCTGTCACTTTTGTCCAGGCCAGTTTCATTATTTTGTTTTTTCTAATAATTCTGTTGAACCACAGTGGAAAAGCAACGTTTGATTTTCACTGGGCAATTTTCGGTAAATTTTTATTTATTATTGCTTTTATTCAGCGACGATTGTTGATTTTTCTTTTATTGCCAGAGGGGTACCGACAGTTTTGTCCACGTCTGTAAGTGCGTAAGTCCTTGCTGTGCGTGTTCTAGTGCGTCGACAGACCTTGGCAGACCCCCTCCTCGCTGTAGCCTCCTTCCGGACACCGGGGCACACAGCGACCCCCGAGCAGAGAGCTGAGAGACGGGCAGGAGACGCAGGAGTCGGCGGAGGGCCCGGTGCACTGAAGACACGATGAGTCACACTCTGAAAAACACACAGAAGAGAGGGTCAATACATAATACAGACCAAGGACAGGGAGTAGGTGGTACAAAAGAAAGTGAGGAGGAGAACCGTGTGGGGGTTTTGCTTCTTTTTTCCTCCCCTCATGTTTTTCTCAAAAGTGCGCCTGAGGTAACGCCAGTCAATACGTGCATCCAGAATTTCGGACTTCATCACGCAAATCCAGACTGGGAAGGATCCTCCGAAAAAGTGAGGATCAAATCGCCGTGTTTGTTTTCCCAGTGGGACGTGTCTATTGTCAAAGTCGATCTTTTCAAGTCTTTTGAACCATATCACTTTTGTTTCTGCTTCTGTTATTGTCATATTTTAGTTTTGGGATTCGGACATCGTCATTTTGTGGTTGTTGGATCCTAACAGCGGAAAATGGGCTTCGGAAGTTTGCGAACTCCATAAATGCAAAAGTGAATCAGATGTGTGTGACTCAAACCTCCGTTCAAACTGTTTCTCTTCCCAACGGAATTGAAAAATAGTGAAAGGTGAAGGTGATGGGCAGGATTGATCCACAGGAAGAACCAAAAAGGAAACATTTGTCTGACTAAATCATCCCGAGTTTACAGAGAACATTTTGTATGTGGAGCGACGACAAAACAAAATCCCGATCCCTCGCTCCACTTTGGTTATGAATTTAAAAAGTCAACACCAAAGTGAAAGTCTCCAACTGTTCACCAAGAAACACCTTCCACTGCAAAGAGACCAAGACGTGATGTTTCTGTAAAACCACAAGAACAAGAAAGTGCAGCTCAGTCTGTTTGTCTTCTGCTCCTCTCCATTCACAAACGGGATTTTGTTTTGTCGTCGCTCCACATACAAAATGTTCTCTGTAAACTCGGGATGATTTAGTCAGTCAAAGGCTTTCTTTTTGGTTCTTCCTGTGGATCAATCCTGCCCATCACCTTCACCTTTCACTATTTTTCAATTCCGTTGGGAAGAGAAACAGTTTGAACAGGAGGTTTGAGTCACACACATCTGATTCACTTTTGCACTTATGGAGTTCGCAAACTTCCGAAGTCCATTTCTCGAGTCGTTTTCCGCTGTTAGGATCCAACAACCACAACAATTACGATGTTTGAATCCCAAAACTAAAATATGACAATATCAGAACCAGAAACAAAAGTGATATGGTTCAAAAGACTTGAAAAGATCGACTTTGTCAATAGACACATCCCACTGGGAAAACAAACATGGAGGTTTGATGCTCACTTTTTCGGAGGATCCTTCCGAATATGGATTGCGCGATGACCGGAAATCCAAAATTCGTGATCCATGTATACCTGAAAGTGTTTTTAGTGGCACTAATAAGAACCCAGGACGTCGTCGTCTGTGAGCTCGAGCTGCGGGTCACACCGTGTCCTGGACCTGATGGACTGAACGCCGCTCACCACGGACCTCTTTTGTTTCACCGCTCACGATGTTAATTGAACGGTCACGCACTAATCTGCAGCCTCTGTATCAGGTCTTTTGTCACGTTAAGCTCTACTCGCATGGGTAGTACAACCCGGGGACGTCTGGTAATTTGCAAATTACCGCCCCACCTCTGTGTTACTCTATTTTACTGACATGGACACAGAGACTGAAGGAGAAAAGAACGTGGAAAGACAAGAAAGAGAAAGAAAAGGTGTGCAATTGCAACACTCAGACGCAGATTCGCACGGGGCTGGTCTGTGTTTGGCGAAATAGAGTTGGTAATTTGCGGCGTAATTTTTACTTTACAACTTAAAGGCATCAGCTGCAATTATTACAAATCCCAAAGGTCCACAGGTCATAATAATCTCATGCAAATAGAGCTTAAGGCCACACCATGGTTTATTGTAATGTGTAAAATGTGTCGGCTGTTGAGGTTCTGAGATTCTCTCTCTCTTCGTCGTATTGAGCGGGCGGCAGCGCGGCGGCGCGGCGGCGGCGGCGGCGGCAGCGGCGGTGGAGCTCTGTTTGTGCAGATCTGTCTGAGGAGATCTGTTTCTTTATTAAACCTACAGAAAACTATTCTGAGCCTTCGCCTCTTTTCTCATACGGCAAACAGAAACTCATCAGAACTCAGGTCGAACAGAGAAAGAACAGACGGTGCAGAGGAGGACAGTGGATATTCATCTGTGGTACAGAGGAGGAATATTGAGTATTTATACTACAGAGGAGGAATATTGAGTATTTATACTACAGAGGAGGAATATTGAGATCTGACAGGATCAGGTTTTTACAAGCCAGTATGGCCACATGGTTTAGCACTCATGCCTCACAGCAAGAAGGTTCTGGGTTCGATCCCTGGGTCGCCTGGGCTTTCCTGTGTGGAGTTTGCATGTTTCTCTCCGTGTCTGGATGAGTTTCCTCCAGTTTCCCCCATCAACCCAAAACATGCTCCAGGTCCATGAACAGTTGACAGTTAAAGTCAGTTAAACACAATCAATTCAATCATTGTGTCCTTAGGCAAGACACTTCACCCACATTGCCTTGTATGATACAGCCGCACCGCTGGCATCTGTCAGTCTGCCCCAGGGCAGCTGTGGCTACAACAGTAGTTTACCATCACCAGGTACAGAGTGAATGAATAATGCTGAATAATGCTGAATAATGCAATAATGTTCTGTAAAGCGTCTTTGGGGACAGAAAATGTGTGTGAAAGCGCTTTATAAATAAAGACTTACTGACTTACATATGGTACAGAGGAGGAACATATGGTAATAATACTAGTATGTGGTACAGAGGAAATACAGTGGGTATATGGTGCAGAGGAATGACACTGATACAGTACAGAGTTGGGTGAGAGAATATGTGGTATAGAGGAAGTACAGTAAGTATGTGGTACAGAGGTAGAACATAAGGTACAGAGGAGGGTCAGTGAGTAGATGGTGCAGGGTTGACTAAGTGAATACATGGTACAGAGGAAGTACAGGGAGTACACCATACAAGAGGTAGGACTCCTCCTCCTTTTGAGCACCAGGTCCCAAATCTGTTCATGTACATATCACTATTTTTGTTATTGTTTATGAATTCTGTTGTACCTTACTCAAATAAATAAATAAATGACATTAAATTAAAGTATGTGGTGCAGAAGAGGAGAGTGAATATGGTGAAGAGGAAGGACAGTGAATACTAATATATGGTACAGAGGAAGAACATACAGTAAAGAGGAAACACTTATGGTACAAAGGAGGGAACATACGGTGCAGAGGAGGAATACATGGTACATATACATATACACGGAGGAAGTACAGTGAGTATGTGGTACCGAGGAGGGACAGTGAGTATAATCCTCTCCTGTGACTGACTGTTCAACTCTGAGTTTAGAGTCTGACTCTAAATCTAAACCGAGTCCAAAATATGAGCGTTAATTTACATGATGAGGACTTTAAGGAATCAATACCTGTCCCACGCCTCAAAACGAAGCAGAAAAACAAAGGTGATAAAAACAAACACGCCCACTACTACTACTACTACTACTACTACTACTACTACTACTCTACTACTACTACTACTACTACTACTACTACTACTACTACTACTACTACTACTACTACTACTACTACTACTACTACTACTACTACTACTACTACTACTACTACTACTACTACTACTACTACTACTACTACTACTACTACTACTACTACTACTACTACTACTACTACTACTACTACTACTACTACTACTACTACTACTACTACTACTACTACTACTACTACCTCCTACTACTACTACTACTACTACTACTACTACTACTACTACTACTACTACTACTACTACTACTACTACTACTACTACTACTACTACTACTACTACTACTACTACTACTACTACTACTACTACTACTACTACTACTACTACTACTACTACTACTACTCTACTACTACTACTACTACTACTACTACTACTACTACTACTACTACTACTACTACTACTACTACTACTACCTACTACTACTACTACTACTACTACTACTACTACTACTCACTACTACCTACTACTACTACTACTACTACTACTACTACTACTACCTACCTACTACTACTACTACTACTACTACTACTACTACTACTACTACTACTACTACTACTACTACTACTACTACTACTACTACTACTACTACTACTACTACTACTACTACTACTACAGCTCCTCCTATTACTCCTACTGTAGTAGTAGTACAGTTGAGAGTTTGAATAGAGTTGTATTATTGTCACTTTGAGGCAGTGCTGCTGTCAGACGTGGATGAGCGTCTGAATGAAAAGTGTCTGAATGAAAAGTGTCTGAATGAAAAGTGTCTGAATGAAGTGAAAAGTCAGCCTCGTCTCTCGTCTCTTGTGTCTCGTCTCCAGACTCAGACTCTCTCGGTTTCAGTTTCAGTTTCCTGCGGACTCAGAGTTTCTGTCAATCACAACTTTTACTTCACAAAAAACATCACATCAGACTCAGATCTGCTCCAGTCTGGATCTGAAAGTAAATAGTAGGTAGTAGCAGCAGTAGTAGTAGTAATAATAGTATTAGAGTAGTAGGTAGGTAGTAGGCAGTAGGTCATAATAGTAGTAGTAGTAGTAGTAGTAGTAGTAGTAGTAGTAGTAGTAGTAGGTAGTAGGTAGTGGCACAGTTCATGAAAAAAAAGCCGAACAGTTCAGTTCGCTTGTCACGGTTCGGGAAGTGTACACATCGCACGGTTTCCACGGTTCCCAGAGACCGGTCACAGGTCACAGGTCACAGGTCACAGGTCACAGGTCACACACGGCCTTGTGTCTGTATGTGGCCTGTTTCGCTTTAATGCAAAAGTAGAGGTGTGGAGGGTGGGTGCTGCGCGTCACGTGTAGAAATGGCAAGTAGGAGAAAAGAGGGCCACAGGAGATGGAGGATGCGACCATAATAATAATAATAATAATAATAATGATAATAATAATACATTTTATTTACATTGCACTTTACATAAAATAATCTCAAAGTGCTACAGGTAAAAACAATGAGTAAAAAAAGTGCATCAGCAAACA